GACATTACCTCCAGAAGTACAACGTGTAGACCGCAGGCCCAGTATTCAAGGCCACAGTCACCCGCTCACACAGCACTGACTTCAGATCCTGCTCGGGAACAAGCCAAGGTTCAGGGGCAATCCAAACGCCATCTAGTTCACTGGCTTCACAAACCTAGTTTTTAATCCAGAAGTTAAAATGAGAAGGCAAGGTATGGAAATGAGGCAGGAGCTCACCCAGAGGCTGAGATCCCAGTGAGATGTCCGCTGCTACTCAGGGGTCACCAGTGGCCAAGAACTCAAGCTCAGATAAGGAATTCTGCTGGCTTTGGGATGACCTTTGGAGAGGGTGGGTCATACCTCCCCCTCTCTCCGGCCCAGCACTGGGTGACAGCAGGAGGAGGCTCCCTTCAACTTTTGTGATGTCCTCAATGGTTCCAATCCACTGCAGTGAATCAGGGTGGATGTGTCAGATCACTCCAGGCCTTCAAGAATGGGCCCAGCTCAGCACAGGAAGGAGGTTAGTTAGCTCCAGTGTTCAGCTGAGAAAGAGTTTCTGAGCAGTTCCACACCATGCCATGGCTGCTCAGTCACAGGATGACACTGGAATGGAAGCTCACCTGCTTTGACTCTAAACCTGTTACCATCAAGCAGTGACTGACCTTCCTAGACGCCCCCAGTCATTCAGGACTCATAGGTAGGACTTGGAACCTCAACATGTCATTTATACTCCTGGGCCAAGTCTTCATGTCTTCCTTTTTCTCTCCCACCTCCATTTCCTTCTGAAGGTGATATAAGCAGCCAAGAGGCAGAGGCTACATTATGCGAGTGGGAAAAGCAGAAAGCAAATCTCCTGGTATAGAGAGAACACACCTATCGTGGCAGCAAATATTTTGCTCTGCAAGAGAGGGGAAGATGTTTTTAAATTCCTTAACCACGAACCAGATTAGGGTATCATTCTTTTATGTTGTTTATTTGGGCTAAATACATCCAAGTGATTAGCTTCATTGTAACACAGTCTGCTCCGTGCTGTTCATTAGATTCTGAGAACTGTTTTCATTTGTTTAATTACTGGCTTCTAATTCGCTGAGCTGCCTTTTCAATAGGCCCATGGGTGACATTCAGAAGGAGCCTGATGCCTTCATTGTTGCCCTGGAAATTTCTTTGTGTTTGTTAGGGTTTCTGTTCCCACTGGGATGCCAGTGCTTTGCCCAGCATCTCACCTGTGGTCTTTTCTGTGCACATTCTCACTCAGCAGGGGACAGTCACCTGGGTAGAAGACTGTGGCACACAGCAATCCCAAGATCATTTAACAGTGATGCAAGCCCAGGCTCCATGTTTGTTTGTATGCAGTTGACAAACAGCTTTCTCCTTTGATAAAGTCTCCTCACCTTCAGCACACTGCACTATTTAACAGCAGGGGGCCAGAAGAAAAGGAAGACCCACAGACTTTCACAATTGTATTATTGTATGTATACATATGTCCAGTGTATGTGTGTATGATATGTGCATGTGTATGTGGTGAGTATGTGCGGGGTTCATGGCATGGTGTCTGTGTGTGTGTCTGAGAGCACGCACATGCACCTGGGAGAGAAGGGAAGAGAGAGACAGAGAGAGAAAGAGAGAGAAGAAGGGGAGGGAGAGGGAGGTGAGGGGAAAGGAGAGGAAGGGGGAGGAGAAGGGAAAGAGGGAGGATGGGGATGGGAAGAGGAGAGGGGAAGAGGGAGAGGGGCAAAGAGAGGAGAAGAGGAAGGGGGAGGGAAGGAAAGGGGGAGGGGAAGGAGAGGGAGGGGGAGGACTTTGTAAAGTCTGTTATCTCCTTCCACTTCCACATGGGTTCCAGGGATGCCACTCAGGTCTCCATGCTTGAGCAGGGAGTTCCACCCCTCCCCGCTGCTGTGCAACCATTATGAGCCACTACACATACTTTTGATCAGCAAGGGCTTTCTCAATTTCTTCACTTGCTT